CGTTTCGATGAAGTCTCATTCATCATCTTCAGGTTTGTGTCTTCGGCTTTGTGCTTCTCGTAGTAATGTGAGCTTGAAGCTGCTTCTTCCTTTTAATTGCTAGTGGGGGTGTGACTTAATTGGGTCAGGGTTTGGCTGTGTTCTGATTGGTTGAGGGGTTGGCTGTGTTCTGATTGGCTGGGGGTGTGTTCTGTTCAGGTGGGGGATTGGCTGTGCTCAGGTTAGTCTTAGTTGCTGGGGGATTTGAGCTGGTGAGCTGTGTTCCTGCTGTTTGGCTTCGCATTCGTGGTTGTGCCACATCTTCATGTTGGGTGTCAGTTCGCTTCATGTATGGGTTGGAGGGGTTTGAAGGGGGTAGTGATGCAGCTGCGGTATGGCTTCTGGTCCGTGGTCGTGTCTCATCTTCTGTGTGGGTGTGAGTCTGCTTTCTACGTGGAGTTGTGGTGGTAGCATCTTGTGTGGCCCTCGTGGGTGTGGGTCTGGTGTCATTCTTCATGTTAAGTACTCGTTTGTTCATGAGGGTGGATTTCCAAATGGCTGGTAGGCGGGAGGTATCATCTTGTTTATTCATGCTGTGTGGGCGTTTTTCTATCTCTATGGCTTCTCTGATTATTCTGTTGTTGAAGTGTTTGGTTTTGGCGATAGTTCTGGTATTTTTAAAGTCAATCTCATGTCCTGTGGCTTAGAGGTGTTGGACCAGGGAAGAGGTTGGTTCTTCTTTTTTGATTGAGTTCTTGTGTTCTTCAATGTGTGCACTTATTCTTCTGTTAGTTTGTCCGATGTATGTGGTGGGCCAGGCGGTGCATGGGATTTCGTATACTCCTTGGTTTTCTAACTCGATTTTGTCTTTAGGGTTTCTTAGGATGGTGGATATTTTCTGTTTATGCAGAATGCTAATTTTAATGTTGTGTTTTTGGAAGATCTTGCTGATTTTGTCTGTAGTGCCCTTTATAGATGGGAGGAGGGCTTTGCCGTTCATTTGTTCTCCGTCTTGGATTTTGGTTGGGGTTTCTTTTTGGATTAGGTGGGTAATCTTCTTTCTTTGGAATCCATTGGCTGTTAGTACATTAGTGAGAGTGTGTAGTTCAGTTTTTAGGTGTTGTTCGTCGGCTAAGCATTTTGTTCTGGAGATATATATATATATATATATATATTTGTTGATTTCAAGATTCGACGTGGTTTCACTATTCACTCAAGTCCCAATAAAAGAAACTCTTGAAATCATCAAAATGGAACTAACAGAACACTGCTTAACCAACACATATTTCATATACAAAAGACAAAGATACAAGCAAATTGAAGGAGCCCCTATGGGATCACCACTGTCACCTGTCATTGCAAACCTGTTCATGGAAGAATTCGAATCCAGAGCCCTGGCTAATGCCACCCACAAACCCAAACTATGGTTAAGATACATCGATGACACATTTGTGATTTGGCCCCATAGAAAAGAAAACCTAAACAATTTCCTAACACACCTAAACAGCACACACCCCAAAATCAAGTTCACCATGGAAACGGAAACAAACAAACAACTACCATTCCTAGATGTACTAATCTACAAAAAAACAGATGGCACACTAGGACACACCATATACCAGAAGAAAACACACCAACCGCTACCTCAATGCCCAATCCCACCACCACCCAGCACAGATAAACTCCGTGGCCAAAACACTAATTGCTAGAACCAAACGCCTGGCAGACAAGACACACATAAAGACTGAACTATGTACCCTGACTAAAGTACTGACAGCCAACGGCTTCCACAAAAGCAAAATCACCAGCTTGATCCACAAAAACATACTGCGACATAATGGAGACCTAGAAGATGAACAGACCTATGGAACAGCTGTCCTGCCCTACATAAGAGGTACTATAGACAAAATCAGTAAGATATTACACAGGCATCACATCAAGACTGCCTTCACAACAGACAGAAAAATAGCAGCCATCCTTAGAAACACCAAAGATAAAATTGACCTGGAAAACCAAGGCATATACCAAGTCCCCGTGCATCATGCCTGGCCACATACATTGGACAGACCAATAGAAGAATAAGTACCCGCCTGGATGAACACAAAAATGCAGTCAAAAAGCTGGAACACACTTCCTCACTAGTCCAACACATGAAAGCCACAGGTCATAGCATCGACTTCAATGGCACCAAAACCCTAGCCACTATAGAAAACCACAGCCACAGAATTATCAGAGAAGCCATAGAGATTGAAAAAAGACCTGAAAGCATGAATAGAAGAGATGATTCCACCACTGTCAATCATTTGGAAACCTGCACTCTCAAACAAAAAAAATCTCTACACCACAAACCAGGCAAACACCTGGGCACAAACAGACTGCCTCTGATACCTCCAGCTCAAACAAACCCCAACCAGGCACCCAGATGAAACCTAGCTTCGTATTAATGATAGCCATCCATTTACTCGGATCCAAGCCGCACTAAAAGCCTCCAATACAGGAAACACAATGTTGCCAGCCAATCAAGACAAAAAAAGCTACAAAACAGACAGAAGATATTAGAAACACCAATCAAGCAGAACACAGCAAATGGCTGTGAATGGCTGTGAAAGTCTGACTCACAGACGAACACAATACAGAAGCCTGATGATGGCAGATGAGATTCTGCCGAAACATTGCTACAACTTCAAAAGCACAACTATAATGACGTTGGAAAATACCCGAACAAAGCTGAATACCATAAATAGATAGATAGATAGATAGATAGATAGATAGATAGAGATAGAGATAGAGATAGAGATGGAAGAATTCGATTCCAGAATACATAAAATTAGGATTACTAAGCACCATACTGGGAATTTTGAGAATTCAATAAGCACCATTTTATAAGGGACTTGTTTTAAGACTAATTTAAAGATGAAAAATAGCCAATGACTAAAATACAGACCTGTTTCAGATAGGATAGATAACTAGAAAACATAAATTTCTTATGTGTCTCAAGCTATAAATTATATTTTTTGAATTTTTTTTCACACTATTGTTTTAATTTTGAAAATATTTTCATAGAAATTTGTAACATTGTTTGGTTATCATGATATTTTGTTTGTATTGTCTCCTAAATAAAAAGGATTCAGCATGTCATGTTCCACAAGCAGATGACATTTTTACTAAGCTTCACCCAGAAGGGACAAGATGAAATTACACTAGGAATGGAAATCAAATCCTGATTTTGCAAAGGTTGAATAAGATACTCAAGTCTGAGGCTTTATTGGCGCACTCTTTTCTTGCCCAAATGCTTGCATAAATTGAATTCATTAACTAAAATGCTATATTATATAATTGTTGACAATATTTTATTACCTATTATAAAAAGATATAATTATACATGCAATAAAAAGGAATCCAGTAAAATGAATCTGTACGGTGCACCAGAAAAGAATTATTTAAAAAGCACAGAAAATACCACATTTTGCTATGATGCAAATTAGTTACCAGATGACAAATATCACTGAATTCAAGAGTAAATATAAAATGTTTATTAAAAAATAAAACAAATATCAAATTAAAATCAGTATATAAACATGAATTGATATTAATCCTCATGCTTCTCTCATTAATGCCAAAAACATTTGAATGAAACTTTTAAAACTGAAAATTGCTCATGAAATAAACCAAACAAAAGCTCTTAATTATGCCAGAAACATTATTCCATCCAAAATATATTCTTCCATGTAGACATGGAAGCAACAAATTTAATAGAAAGTGTGAGAGAAATGTGTTAACCAGCTGAATTGAGCAAACAATTGTAATGCAAATCAAAGTGCTGGTTATCTCCCATAAAGTCCTTCATGACATAAGATCTGATTATTATACAGTATATCTCCTGTAGTATCTACATGCCGCATACAGTCTCACAGTATTGCCATGGTTTGGGTGCCATCTTTGATGACCTTGGGCTGGGCACAAAAGCAACATAGCAGAGCGAAGGCTTAAGTGCCTTTTATTGCCCCAACTTCCCCCACCACCACAAAGTGCCCACAGTTCACTGTAAGTCCAAGAGCAATGCTCCAAACACACACACACACACCTCCACTAGTTCCTGGCTGCTGTGTCCAGAGAAGCAGCCAGTTCTGACAGCAAACATAGTTCAGGAAACTTGGTTCCAGGGAGTTCTCATTGCATGGAGGGGTCACTGAGGCTGTAGCACAACCCAAAGCAGAGCTGTGTTGCTGAGTACTTGCCCACAGCCAGGCCAGACAAAGCAAGGCAAGTGAAACCCAAGCAAAGCAAGGTGAAGCACAGTAAGACAAGGTGGCAAGATGTTGACAATTGCAAGCATGGCTGGAAAAAGACGATGCTTGTTCTGACAAGAGCCTCTACCCAGATTCTCTTTAAATCAAATGAGCTTTGTGATGAGGGAAAGCTGTTGGTTTGCCCTATGCTAATCCCACCATCTTTCCATCCTCTGTGCTCAAAAATTGAGAGGCAATAACTCCTCCCCGGAGCTCTATAACTCCTCTACTCCATTGCCTACTCTTTCCTTCCACTCCTCCCTTGCTTGGTTGTCCTGCACCCTCTCTCCATCGCCGGCCATTCCTCCAAGGCCTGAGGGACCCAGGACTGCCTTGTCTTGCTCCCCTGGTCGCTCCTTTGGGGTCAGAGAGGTCATGCCATCCTCCTCCATTGGCCCTGGCTCCATCTCGTCCTCCTCCTTGGACCCAAGCTCCGATGGAGCCATGACACCATCAGTTAAATAATGTGATCTAGTTGGAACCTGTTATGGAGCCTGCCTTCTGGAACACCATTTCATTTGAGATCCCCATGGCTCCTCCCCTGTTGCAGGCCTGGGTTAGATCCCTTGTGGTTGCTTTGGTTGTTTAATTGACTAATGACTTTCGTTTGGATTACAGTATTTATTCTATATTTGTACTATTTTTAATGGTTGTATCCTGCAGGTCATCTGAGTGATATGGATTGCTGCAGATAATTAAACAAACAAAAATAGCATTTACAAAAATACTTACAACTTTCTATCTCTAATGTGCAGTTTTGTTCATCTAAGGGATATCTTCGTAGATCCATCATGCATGCAGCTGTTGTTGTAATTCTAGAAGAGTCAGAGATGAAAACATTTTTTTAATTTGTTCAACCTGGGTAAAATCTAGATAAAAGACTGGAAAATTGATGCATCTATTCCATGTCACTCAAGGTTAAGAAATATATGTATATTTTCAAGAAAGACATGTGTTAATTTTGGTTGACTTTATTTGAACATTAGTTTTGTACTTTATATTTCACATTAACTTCATATTTTCTGTATAAACAGACTAATAAGTAACATGTAACAGCCCAAACCAGAATCTATAAAAAAACACAGTGATATGAATGAATTGGTTTGACTGATTCCAGGGAACACATTCCTGAAGGTAATTTGGTACCAAGCCATAAAGAACTATTACTACAGTAATAGGTACAGGTATTCAGCTGTCTTCAGTTGCATTTCCAGTTTATTTCCATCATTGTTTCTATTTATTCATTTCATTTTCTGCAACTCCTCAGTAAACTAAGGAGCGTATTAGGATTTGTGAGAGAAAGGAAAGCTGCTTTGAGGCAATCTCTATTTCCTTCAAAATCTCATAGTTCTAGAGATTGACAAAAACACATGGTGAATATCTCAGAAACCCCTCTCACACAAAGACATTTTAATTTGTATTTTTAAGTCAGCATATGAAGTTAAGAGAGAGAAATAATTGTTTCAGCAGTGTGCAGCAGCAGCCAAAAAAGCTAATGCAATCCTAAATTGTATTAACAGAGGGATACAGGCAAGATCAAGGGAAGTACTAATACCACTCTATAAAGCCTTAGTAAGACCACACCTAGAGTACTGCATCCAGTACTGGTCACCACATTATAAAAAAGATGTTGAGACTCTAGAAAAAGTACAGAGAAGAGCAACCAGGATGATTAGGGGACTGGAGGCTAAAACATATAAGGAACGGTTGCAGGAACTGGGCTTGGCTAGTCTAGTAAAGAGAAGGACCAGAGGAGACATGATAGCAGTCTTCCAATATTTGAGGGGCTGCCACAGGGAGGAAGGGGTCAAGCTATTTTCTAAAGCGCCTGTAGGCCAAACAAGGAATAATGGATGTAAACTGAACAAGAAGAGATTTAACCTGTAAATAAGGAGAAACTTTCTGAAAGTGAGAACAATCAACCAATGGAAGCTTGCCCTCGGAAGTTGTGGGAGCGCCATCACTTGAGACTTTCAAGAAGAGATTGGACCGCCATTTGTCAGAAATGGTGTAGGGTCTCCCGCGTGGGGGCAGGGTTGGACTAGATGACCTACAAGGTCCCTTCCAACTCTGATTATCTGTATCTATCTGTTTAAGTAAGTATTATAGCACTACGCAATCTAAAACCATCTCCATCTATTGGACCAGACGGAATATGTGCCTACTTCTTAAAAAAGCTATCCACTGCCATAGCAGAACCTCTAAGCATAATCTTTGAAAAATCTTTCAGGACCAGCTCCTTGCCAAAACTATGGTCACAAGCCATGGTCATCCCCATCTTCAGACAGGGAGACTCCAGCCTAGTTGAAAATTACAGACCAATCTCTTTATGCTGCGTCACCTGTAAAGTCATGGAATCAATTATTAACCAATCCATCATCCTCCACTTAGACACAAACAACCTACTCTCTAATAAACAATTTAGTTTTAGGAAAAAAAACCTACCATGTAATCTGCAACTCTTACACTGCAAAAGCATATGGACTACACAACTCGATCAGGGCAAAACAATAGATGCAATCTACATAGACTTCTGTAAAGCCTTTTGATTCAGTGGTACACAACAAACTGCTCCTAAAACTAAAATCTAATGGTATCTCTGGACAACTGCATAACTGGATAGAAGCATTCCTGTCAAACAGACAACAAATGGTCAAAATTGGGAGTGTCCTATCCAATTCTGTACCTGTCAATAGTGGTGTCCCCCAAGGCGGTGTTCTAGGACCAACTCTCTTCATACTCTACATAAATGACCTCTGTGATCATATTAAGAGCAACTGCGTTCCTTTCGCTGATGATGTAAAGCTGTTCAACACCACAGACAATACTGCTACCCTTCAAAAAGATCTTGACTATGTATCAGAATGGTCAAAAAAATGGCAACTTCAAATCTCAACAAATAAATGCTCTGTCTTACATATTGGCAAAAAAATACATCAGAAAATAAAATACAAGCTGAATAGTCAAGACCTTGTTGATGGTCCAAGGACCTTGGAATACTCATCTCTAATGATCTAAGTGCTAGAGCCCACTGTAACTACATAGCCAAAAAAGCATAAAGAGTTGTTAACCTCATCCTACAGAGCTTTTTCTCTGATAATATCACACTACTAACTAGAGCAAACAAAACATTTGCTAGACTAATACTCGAATACAGCTCATCAGTCTGGAACCCACATTACGTATCTGATATTAGCACAGTTGAGAAAGTCCAGAAATATTTCACAAGAAGACTTCTCCACTCCTCTACTCATTGTAGAATGCCTTGCCACCAGACTTGAAATTCTAGACCTAGAAAACCTTGAATTACGTTGTCTTCGGTCTGATCTAAGTATGGTATATAAAATCATACATTGTAATGACTTACCTGTCAATGAATACTTCAGCTTCAACCATAACAACACAAGAGCACACAATGGATACAAACTCAAGGTTAACCGCACCAAACTTGATTGCAGGAAATATGACTTCAGCAACAGAGTGGTCAATGTCTGGAATACTCTACCTGACTCTGTGGTTTCTTCCTCAAACCCCAAAAACTTTAACCTTAGACTGTATACTATTGACCTCACCCCTTTCCTAAGAGGTCTGTAGGGGGCGTGCATAAGCGCACCAACGTGCCTACCGTCCCTGTCCTATTGTTTCTTTTATTTTTCTTATATGTACCCATTTCATGTATTCATAACTATGTATATACTTATACCTATTATCTTGTAAGCGATTGACAAATCAAATAAAGAAATAAAATAAAAAAGCTAATGCAATCCTAAGTTGTATTAACAGAGGGATACAGTCAAGATCAAGGGAGGTACTAATACCACTCTATAAAGCCTGGAAATAAGGAGAAACTTTCTGACAGTGAGAACAATCAACCAATAGAAGCTTGCCCTCAGAAGTTGTGGGAGAGCCATCACTTGAGACTTTCAAGAAGAGATTGGACCATCATTTGTCAGAAATGGTGTAGGGTCTCCTACTTGGGCGGGGGGTTGGACTAGATGACCTACATGGTCCCTTCCAACTCTGATTATTTGTATCTATCTGTTTAAGTAAATATTTGTCAAGTTTGTAGAATCATTTTTCAATTTATTTATTTATTTTTTTTTATTTATTTGATTCGCCAATCACTTACAAGATAATAGGTATAAGTATAAACATGAGTAAGAATACAGGAAATAGGTATGAATAAATGGGACAATAGGACAGGGATGGTAGGCACGATTGTGCACTTATGAATGCCCCTTATAGACCTTTTAGGAATGCGGTGAGGTTAATAGTGGATAGTTTAAGTTTAAAGGAGTGGAGGTTAGCGGATGAAACAATAGAGTCAGTGATTAATTTGTGCTATTTTGTATAGCATCTCTCAGGAGCACAATACCTCTACCCCCAATAATTGGAAATATGACATTATCACTTATTTATTATTTATAATAATTATTTTGATATTCTCTCTCAGAGTATAGAAAATCAGTGAAAGCAAATAATTATTTTTGAAAATCAGTCTGAGGTTTTGGAATTCTTAGAGCAGTATTTTTCAAACTTGGAAACTTTAAGATGTGTGCACTTCAACTTCCAGAATTTTCCAGCCCAACATACAGTACAGAATATCTTAATCAAATAGCATAATACAAGCATTAGCAAGACATTGGTTCTTTGCTTAAACTGTGCAGCTGGCCAGCAGTTTAAAAATGTTATTTAAAAATAACATTGTTATGATTGTTTCCCCTCCAAAAAAGATTACAATTCATTTACCAAATCTCAGAAGATCCCAATATATTGGAAACTTAGTAAAAATAATGTCCCCTTAAGGTGAGGTTCAGTCCTCTATAGTTTCATAGATATATCTATGTAGTTATTTTAGCAACAATAGGGAAAAGATTTCACATTGCCTTCTTCCAGTTGGGTAAAATCCCATAATGGCCTGGAGATTTCTAATAGTGCCCTGGGACTGTTCTCTTCTTTCTGCGAGGCTCAAGTTTTCTTGAGCCTGGCAGAAGATTTATCAACAGGGAAAGGGACTAGGTTACAGATATTTCAACAAATGAATTGCTTTCATTTTTGAACCTAACTTATTTTTCAGCTCATTAGGACAGACATTCCTTCAATTTTTTTTCTAACAATCCTTGTCTGAACTGGTTGACTGGCTGGCTGCTTGTTTCCTAGACAACTGAGGGATGTGCAGGTGTCTGTTAATGTTTTCTTAACTGTCTCTGGAATTCTTATTGGGCAGTGAAAACAGTATCATTAGATCCCTTAAATATTCTCCAGAATCAAACATTTAAAATACTTTTTTTCTTTTTTAATATAACCACATATTCTAAAACTCCCATTCATTATTTTAAAATAGCTCAGACATACATCAAGCTCAAGCTGCTAATCAGCAGCCTTCCTACTGATCTATCAGTATAATTTTTTTCTGCACTTGACTGCATTCGATCAGAAGACTTTTATTAGAATCATTATCAGGAATTATCAATGCATAAAGACTGAGTATTGTCTTGTGATTATTTTCTCTTGTGCATGGAGAGATCAGCTTTGAAGAAAAATGTTTTGGCTTTTTTTTCTATTGTCTTTAATTTGCTGAATGTTGAAAACAAATAGAATAATTCTGTCTCAAAACCCCTTGTGAAAAATCTAAGTGATTTTTTTTTCACTATTTGCAACAATCACATAAGTAGCAGTTTACAAAACTCCAGAATTTTATTATTTCAATTTATATTATTCTGGGATCGTCTCACAGCAACTGCCTTTCATCTCATTCTCTGTCTTAGACAAAAAATGTCTTTTATGTGAGGCTTTTCACTTTTAATTAATTTTACAATTTATTTGCAATTTTTACCTTATCATTTTGTGTTCTGCATTTTTAAAGGTCTCCTGTGAACTCTTTGATAATATATATCCTCATTTGAAGCGAACAAAGAAATCAAAATATTTAAAGCAACAAAGACAATTAACATTATTTGTTGAAGTCACTTGAGTGATTGGACAGGCAGGCTCTAAAATTATGCAAACATTTTAAGGGCACATTTCTTGCTAAACAGCCTAGGGCTTGGGGGATTTTGGTTTTGGGATATTTTAAAATCACCTTTTGGGGGGATGGAGTAACAGTAATGTGTTAGCAAGCTTACCTTTTACCTAGTTTTTAGCTAACCAGTCCATTTGTTTATAGTTTATTCATTGGTACTGTGAAAGTTGTTGTATCTAGAGCTATTTTGTCACTTAAACCAGATGAACCAAACATAACACTACACAATAGGCTTCGTGTTAAAGTATAATTTCATCCTCATCTCCCCATTTCAGTTGTCCTTTACTTAATACTCGATAACTATTCTCCAATTCAGGGACAGCAAATAATCTAAAATCAAACATTTCTTCAATTATTAATGTGGTATGAATGAAGTCTGATTTTAGCAGAATATATTTGTGCCTGGCAAAACACAAGTGCACAGATCTATTGATGTATAATCAGTAAAAGTTGGCTTCACAGCTCTTGGACCATCTGGTTTAAGTGACAAAATAGCTTATTGGCTCAGCTATACCAGTGATAAGCCAGGAGGTGAAGCCAGAAGGAGGTTGCTGTATAACCTAGATAACACCCCGGGCACATGTTCAGGTTAAAGATCAACATGGAATAAAACTAAACAAATGAACCAATAAAAGACCTTGTTTGAACTGATTATGTTAAACTGTAGAATGCAGTTAGAAAAGTGGGAATCCCAGAAAATCTTGATTTCCTCATGAGGCAACTATATGTAGATCAAGAAGCCATAGTATGCAAAGAACGTGGTGAATCAGATGAGTTCCAAGTAAAACAAAGCTGTATGCTCTCCCCTCATTTATTCAACCTTCATACTGAATATGTATTAAGGGAAGCTGGATTGGAAGATGAGAGTAGTTTTAAAACTGGAATAATAAACATCAGTAACCTGCACCATTCTGGTACTACTATAATAGCCAAAATTGCAAAGGATTTGCAAACTCTAGTAATAAAGGACAAGGAGCATAATAAAACATGGGATTAAAATTAAATATAGACAAAACCAAACTATTGATATCAAGCACAATAGCCAACTTTAGAATTGACAATAAAGATATGAAAGTGGTAAATAACTTCTGCCTTTTAGGATCAGCCATCAACAATAAAGGAATAAGTTGTCAAGACATACGCCATTGATTAGCATTTGGTGGAATTGCAATTAAGGCCTTGAAAATATACTTAAATGCTATTATTTGTTTGTACCTACAAAAATCTGAATCATGCAAGCATGGTATTCCCTGTAACATGCTATGAAAGCACAAGCTGGACTTTGAAGAAGTAGGATAGGAAGATATTACTTTAGAACTTTGGTGTTGGAGAAGGCTCCTAATGGACAGCCAAGAAAACAAAAATGGATAATTCAACAAATGAAGTCACCCCAGGCACACATGACCAGACTCAAATTATTCTACGTATTATGTGAAGAACTAGCTTTCTAGTGAAAGCTGTAATCCTAGGAAGGTGAAGAGAAAGAATAAAAGAGGATGTCCACCAGCAAAGTACACGGGCCCAATTTCAGTGGGATGACTGCACCATTCAATGATGAAAGAACAGGTTTGGGACAGACAGAAGAAATTTGTCATGGAGAAAAAATATCTATTTGGAAAGAAATGAAGGAAGAGAATTGTATAAGATGAGGTTCTAATTTTTGAATTTGCTAATTTTTGAATTTCCTATTTAAGTTTCAGATTAGTTGAATGAAAAAGAGTAAAATATATTCAGACTTAAAAATTTTCAATTTAATTATATAAATTAGCATTTTGGTATTATCCTAGCTCATTTATTCTGGTTCCAACTCTTCTTTAAACAGTTTCCATAACAAATTTCTTTAATATTCCTCTAGTATCAGAAATATGCTATGCATGTTTAGGACATGTTTTTCTTGCTAACATTCCATCTTTATTAGTCTAAAAATCTTCTAATTTTACTTTACATTCCTTTTCTTCACTGCCCAATTTAATTCAACAGCATCGTCATGTCCATGAAAGCTGGTGAAAACTATGGCTAATAGCTTCCCACTACTATCAGTGCAGAATACTTCAAGTTTTTAAACAACTGTGAAGTTCTTCCAAATATTATACATATTATGGTTCTCTCCCATTTTTTATTAGCCACTGAAACACAGCTTGTACGTTTTCATTTCTAGCTGAGCTTATTTAAACTTCCTCTCCAATTAGAAATATGCATCTAAAGTTTAGGATCTTAATTCATACATCTAATAAAAATTGCAGTTTAAAAAAATGAATGCTGAAATGAATGTGTTAATCTTTAAAATGCTACAAGGGTGATCGAGGAAACAACAAATTAACTGTTGGACAATACCATATATGTCAGCGAAACAAATTCTTGATGAAAATTAAATTCTTTGTTCAGCATGAATTATCAGTCTGAGACACCTCAAAATTAATCAAGAATTACACCTAAGAAAGATAAAATTTTCAGATTTTATTTATTATTTCTAGGTGTAGATAGTTCCAAAATCAGTGGGGAGATAGAGTATAAAATTTGTGGCATGTAGAAGAATATTTTCAGCTAAAAAAATTCTACAAGAAAAGTAGAAAAAAAATGTAAAGCAAAAAGAGGAAGATGTTTAGCCAGCTACAAGAAATGTTTGGAAGCTATGATGTTTCCAACAAATGAGGTTTTACAACTGACTAACTACCGACATGCGATATTCGCTTTTTATCCCAAAAGTTTTTTATTTTTTTATTTTTTACATATCTCTTCACGTGAGCAACGTGGTTCCAGATTACAACATTTATACATAGTCGGACTTATATTTCCATCTATCTTATATAATATCACCTAATGTCATTATCCATTCCATTCATCTTTAAATAAATTTACATACATATACATATGTTTTCTTAAGTTTTCGCGGGTACTTACATGTATGGCATTCAGCTTTGTTCGGGTATTTTCCCACGTCATTGTAGTTGTGCTTTTAAAGTTGTAGCAACGTTTCGGCAGAATCTCATCTGCCATCATCAGGCTTCTGTATGAAGATGAACACTATACAGAAGCCTGATGATGGCAGATGAGATTCTGCC